GCTGGTAAGGGTTTCTGCCATTTGTGTTCAACCATTTCTCTCCTGTTTTGATGGCTAGCCAGGGAGTTCAGGTTTTGTACTTTCTTTTTTCTATTTACCATTAGAAAGTTCTTTTTAATTTCTTAGCTAGACAAGGGGGTGTGTGTTTTGTTTGTTATTCTGGCCTTGGAGACCCTGAAGATAAACACTTCCCTGTGTTCTGTTCTTTGTTTTAGTTGATTTACCTGCACTGTAAATAAATTATCCACATTTTGCTTCAGACATCAACCGTTTGTTTTTTGTGTTACAAACAGCGCTGGATTTTACCCTTAGTGGTCTTTTTGGGGGGGTTGTAACAATAATAAACTGGTTTATTCTATAGTTGGGACTTGAGACTAGAAGAACTGAACTACAGCCAACAAGGACACTGGAAAGAGAAATATTAAATCTACAATGAACTGCATTAATTCAGTGACAGTTTCAATAGAAAGTAGAGAATTTCTGCTGCTTCAACATGTAACATCATGAATAGTCACATATGAGAGTCTGTCTCTCTTTTTCTCATCACCTGCTAGCAGCAGACTAGAAAACAATGTACCTACAGTTTTTAATTGGATGTAGATATTTGTGTCCAAAAGCATAAAAACCATTTAACAGGTTTAAACAAAGATCAGAGATAAAAACATAAAAACTTAAAGTGATCAGTAAAAACTAAACCTCCTCCATCATCACTGACTAAAGACATTTCTCCCTCTTCCTCCTCTATCAGACCTTCTCTGCTCCTGCAGCAGGTTCCTCCATACCTGAGAGCTTCCAGTCTCCAGTCTGGATCCTTCAGTCCAGCCGACAGCAGCTTCACTCCTGAGTCTCCTGGATGTTTGCTCAGGTCCAACTCTTTCAGATGGGAGGGGTTGGAGGTCAGAGCTGAGGCCAGAGAAGCACAGCCTTCCTCTGAGACCAAACAGCCTGATAAGCTGCAGACACACAATTCATCACATGATGAGAAAACATTGAGGTAGAAACCAAAGTCTGAACTGGATATTTTCATGAGAGGAAAACTCTCAAGAAACTGGAGATTCACCTGTTAATAACATTAAAAAGTAATAAAACTTTACTTCAATCTGTAGGTAATAAAAATCTGAATTTATCACTTGTAAAATTAATGAGAAAGTCTAACAACTGGTTGGAGGAAGAATCTGCAATAATGCTTCTTTGTACTCTGATGATGCAACAATCTGTCAAGTGTCCAGCGTTACACTAACAGTTAAAGCCTGATCTCCATCTTTCTACATTCTCTCTTCTTGGCTCTTTCAGCCTGGAGTAAATGAAAACCAGCTGAGTTATGTGTCAAGACTTAGCATGATTAGCTTCATCACAGTCAGACATCTATTGATGTTATAATCTGATACTGAAATAATTTACATAATATCTTATAGCAGGTAATGAATAGAAATCTGGTTTCACCAGGATTGAGAACATTTTACCTGAGAGTTTCCAGGTTGCAGTTTGGACTCTTCAGTCCAGCAGAGAGAAGCTTCACTCCTGAATCCTGCAGGTTGTTGTTACTCAGGTCCAGTTCTCTGAGACTGGAGGACTTGGAGCTGTGAACTGAGGACAGAGCTTTACAGCTTCTCTTTGAGAGGTTACAGCCACTCAGTCTGAGGAGACAGGGAGGAAAATCTGTTAATAATCCATCAAATGTTTGTGTTACTTTACAGTCAATAATATTCTTAGACTGATTGAAATATAGGTCATATTTTTCTAAACGTTATGATATTTTTATTATAAACTGGTTTATTCTATAGTTGGGACTCAAGACTTGAAGAACTGAACTACAGGAAACAAGGACACTGGAGAGAGAAATATTAAAATCTACAATGAACTGCATTAAATCAGTGACACTTTAAATAGAAAGAAGAGAATTTCTGCTGCTTCAACATGTAACATCATGAATAGTTGCATATGAGAGTCTGTCTCTCTTTTACTCATCACCTGCTAGCAGCAGACTAGGAAACAATGTACTGATAAATAATCAGTAAATACCAGTAGATGGTTTGGTTTCCTAGGTACATTAAGCACCAGGTGAAAGAATCCTAATGTTTTAATGAGCAGCTGTTTGCAAAGTTGTACAGTCCATTTAATCCCAAGTTTGTTCTGCAAAATAAGTGCATATATTTCCATCCTTAGACCTTCCTAACACGATATTTATGAATTAATTAGAGGTGAGTTGATTGATTGGTTACCTATCATAATCAGCTGATTTCCATGAAAGTGTATGATCAGTGATCACTGTCTCCTGTTGCTGATCACATTTATCTACCTTCTCCTCCTGCATGTGCAGCTCATCTCCTCTTTCCTTCTCACTGCACAGCAACAAATCCTGTCATGAGGAACTATAACACTCTGATAGTGAATGGGGAAGTTTGTGTATTGCAGCGGAAAATTACCTCACAGGTGAAGCATGTTAAATGCATCAATACAATTAATCTAATATGGTATTTAAAAACATGCATTTGATGGAGTTTGGCTACATTGAGGCTCAATGCAGGAACAAATTGACATCCTGAGCGACCAGACAGCAGGTAAAACAGCTCAACTACCAACAGTCACCTGGATTAGGATCACGGTCAGAAATAACTAGAAAAAGTCTTCAAGCTGGCAGTGAAAGATGCTGGTTCTCCTCTCGCTGTTGAACCTTCACTATTCATTACTGGTAGTTATATTTCACAGACATGGTGCTGCTAATAATAATCTGATACTGAAATAAAATTTACATAATATCTTATAGCAGGTAATGAACAGAAATCTGGTTTCACCAGGATTGAGAACATTTTACCTGAGAGTTTTCCAGGTTGCAGTTTGGACTCTTCAGTCCAGCAGAGAGAAGCTTCACTCCTGAATCCTGCAGGTTGTTGTTACTCAGGTCCAGTTCTCTGAGACTGGAGGACTGGGAGCTGAGTACTGAGGACAGAGCTTTACAGCTTCTTTCTGAAAGGTTACAGCTACTTAGTCTGAGGAGACAGGGAAGAAAATAAGTTATTAAAAAATCTTTTTTGGAAAAATTTATTTTACTAGGGATGCTTAAAACAAATATTTTAGTAATCGAGTAATCTATCAATTATTCTTACAATTAATTTGGTAAAAAACAAAAAAATAAAATCTTGGTAAATCTGGCATAACACCAGTGTTAATATTGTTAAAAATATCAGTCCAGTTTATTGACCATCTCTAACAGTTACTTTTTGTTAGTTTAGAAACTTAACCTGTAACAGTAATAGCTCACTTTCTAAGTTAACCTGAAGTAAGACAAAAATCTAAAATACTATTCAATTTAGACATTTTGAAGAGATAATACACCTATAAATAATCTGAAACATAAATACATGTTTACCTCATCAATAGCAGATTTTTATGCACATAACTGCATTAACAATGTGTGTCCTTACAGAGCTTTGTTGGAGGCTTTAACCACTGGCAGCAGCCTCAGAAGAACCTTCTCTGAAGCAGAGTATTTCTTCATGTCAAACACATCCAGATCTTTTCCTGATGACACTAAGATGAAACCCAGAGCTGACCACTGAGCAGGAGACAGTTATCTGTGGAGAGACTTCCTGAACTCAGAGAATGTTGGATCTCCTTCACTAGAGAACGATCATTCAGTTCATTCAGACAGTGGAACAGATTGATGCTTTTCTCTGCAGACACATTCTCACTGATCTTCTCCTTGATGTACTGAACTGTTTCCTGATTGGTCTGTGAACTACTTCCTGTTTTTGTCAGCAGACCTTGTAAGAGTCTCTGATTGGTCTGCAGTGAAAGTCCCAGGAGGAAGCGGAGGAACAAGTCCAGGTGTCCATTTGGACTCTGTAAGGCCTGGTCAACAGCTCTCTGATGGAGAGTCTTTAGGTCAAATTTATTAGGTAATGAAGATTTATTAAATCTTTGTGTTTCTTCCATCAGGTTGACCCCAGAGTTGATGAAGGTCAGATGAACATGAAGAGCAGCCAGAAACTCCTGAACACTGAGATGGACGAAGCAGACACCTTGTCCTGGTACAGACCTCTCTCCTCTTTAAAGATCTGTGTGAACACTCCTGAGTACACTGAGGCTGCTCTGATATCGATGCCACACTCTGTCAGGTCTGATTCATAGAAGATCAGGTTTCCTTTCTGCAGCTGATCAAAAGCCAGTTTCCCAGAGACTCAATCATCTTCATGCTCTCTGGACCAGTGTGGATCTGTTTCAGCTCCTCCATCATACTTGACCTTCTTCACTTTGGTCTGAACCACCAGGAAGTGGATATACATCTCAGTCAGGGTTCTGGGCAGCTCTCCTCCCTCTCTGGTCTCCAACACATCCTCCAGAACTGTAGCAGTGATCCAGCAGAAGACTGGGATGTGGCACATGATGTGGAGGCTTCGTGATGTCTTCATGTGGGAGATGATCCTGCTGGCCTGTTTCTTATCTCTGAATCTCTTCCTGAAGTACTCCTCCTTCTGAGGGTCATTGAACCCTCTGACCTCTATCCATGCCAACACACTGAGGAGGGATCTGATTGGCTGCTGCAGGTCGTGTGGTTATCCAGAGGAGAGCAGAGGGAAGCAGTTTCCCCTGATGAGGTTTGTCAGCAGAACATCCACTGAGGTGGACTCTGTAGCATCAGTCGGATCTCCTTGTTGTGGAAGTCCAGTGGAAGTCGACTCTCATCCAAGCCATCAAAGATGAACAGAACCTGGAAGTGTTCAAAGCTGCAGATTTCTTTGCTTTCAGTAAAGAACTGATGAACAAGTTCCACCAAGCTGAACTTTCTCTTTCAGCACATTCAGCTCTCTGAAGGTGAATGGAAATATGAACTGGATGTTCTGGTGGGCTTTGTCTTCAGCCCAGTCCAGAGTGAACTTCTGTGTTAGGACTGTTTTCCAATGCCAGCCACTCCCTTTGTCATCACTGTTCTGATTGGTTGATCTCTTCCAGGTGGGACTTTAAAGATGTCTTCTTGTCTGATTGTTGTTTCTGGTCTGTGTGGTTTCCTGGATGCTGTTTCAATCTGTCTGACCTCATGTTCATCATTGACCTCTCCAGTCCCTCCCTCTGTGATGTAGAGCTCTGTGTAGATCTGGTTCAGAAGGGTTGGACTTCCTGCTTTAGCAATTCCCTCAAACACAGACTGGAACTTCTTCTTCAGACCAGATTTAAGTTTATGTTGACAAACTCCAGCAAGATGTTCTAAAATAAGAGAAAAAATAAAATCTGTAACTAAATAAAATTATTTTCTGAAGATGAGTTTAATAAATGTGATTTAATCTCCTCAACCAACAGTTAATGTGTAATTTATCTATCAATTCAAATCTCTTTAGAAATCCTCTTACTGAGCTGCAGATGGTCAGCCAGCTTTTCCTGCTTCATCATCCTCAGGAAGTTCAGTGTGATCTTCATCACTGCCTCTCTGTTGCTCGTCCTCTGTTCTTCATCATCACCTTCCAACACCTCATCATTCAACATCATTGAATGTTCTGGGTAATCTGGACTCAGAACTTTCTGGATCTTCTTCAGTTCTTTCTTCACAAAAGTAACAATGTTGTCCTCCAGCAGCTGGAACAGAATAATAGATGAAGGAAACATCAGAGTGAAATCATGGAGCCAAACACCAGATGGATGTTGGACAGACTAACAGTCCTCTGGTCTACACAGTGTAGCATGAAGGTGACTTTGAACAGAACTCATGGAAAAGTATTTGTTGTTCATATACAGACCATAAATATGGAGTCCAGCTGTGTTTGAAGCTGCTGGGCAGATGGACCCCTGGGAACCTCTGAGCTCTGCTGGTCCACTCTGTGGAGGAACCAGGAACAATTAGGATGTTTCAAACTATTCATCCAACAGGAAACATTAAATCATCGAAAGTTTCACAATAAAAGCCCTTGAAGCAGAAAAATAGACCGTCACATAAACAAAATACAAAGACTTTAGAAAGAGGAAGATGAACTACAAAGATGAAGAAAAGTAACACCAGAATAATCTAGTAGCCATTTTAAAAAGATGATTTTGAAGTTGGACTTCAAACAGTCCAAACTGTCAGCAGATCTGATGCTGTGGAGACAGTTTCCCAGAGCTTGGGGACAGTGGAAGTGAAGGCTCTGTCCCACAGGTCTTCAGGACAGTGTGGGACATCCATCAGGTTCTAATGACTAGATCTGAGGTGATGTGGACATGGAGGAGGTCTGAAATATGTGGATGTGTCCATGTGGGATCCTCTCCTGGATGTTATAGAGAGGATTTTAAAATGGATCCTGTAGATCCCTGGAAGCCAGTGAGCTCACATTGTATCTGTCCACACAGAGACAATCAGAAGGTAAACGTCCATGAAGTGACATCTGGATGTGAGCAGTGAACCAGGTGATCTAAGTAGTTGTAAAGATTTAATGTTCCTGCTGATCCCATTAAGAACCAGCAGAACCTCTGATGGTCCACATCAGCTCAGTTTGGTTGAGTTCCAGCAGATCTCACCAACCACATCATGAAGCTTTCCTTCCCTGCTGAACTGCTCTCACAATGCACACAGGAACCAAGTCCTGATGGACCAGAATGGCTTTACCAGGTATTTCCCAGTGGAAATGTGATCCCTGTTAGTCTGACATGGAGCCAGGAAGCAACAGAACATCATCATCAATATCCAGAGATAAAGATATGAAGGTGTTTTCATGAGAACAGAGCAGCTGATTTCTGTGGATAATGGATCAACCTCTGGAAATATAACTGGAACCATCTGAGTTCTTACTGTTCAGTTTCCAGAGTTACAGCAATTAGATACAGCTCACCTCTCTGATGATGGAGATCCAGGAGATTTAAAGTCAATGGGATGATCCTTTGACCTGTCACTCTCAAATGAGACACAGCTCGGTTCTGGTTCTGGTCTCTGATGGATCCTGATAGAAAAACATTCACTATAAACTTTCTGTTGTTTGATTTAAAGATCATTTTTATTTTGTCTCTTTGAAAAATAAAGTTGTTTGAGATACAACAGAACTTCATCAACTTCATGTTCTAAATGATCCTATCAGAACCGGTCCAATCCTCCAACATGTTCCTGATCATTGATCCTCCTAAATAATGTCCAGCCTTGTTTAAAGAGCAGAAATAACTGTTCCTGAGATTTTTGGTGATGTTTAAAATCAGAATCACAAAATCGATGTAAACATTTTTCTTTCAACATTAATAATTCATCAGATTTAAACAACAATATTAATATCAATATTAATATTAATATCAACCTAGACATTAAATTCACTTCTGCTTTTTTGTTTGTGTGTTTATAATATTTGATTAAATAAATGACTGTTTCATTTGGAAAAATTAAGTTGATGCAAAATAGAATACAATGCAGTTAAATGTGTGGTCATGTCAACATTATAGTTTATGTCCTGATTGAGGATTTTCTTTGTTCTTTATATTTTATATTTTAGAGGTTAAAGCAGAAAAGTGAGTTTATTCTGGTTGGATATTTTGTTTCCTGTTATTCTTCAGCAGTAATGATTTAGTTCTGGCCTTTAGGGAGGATTATCACTACATGAATGATTGTTTATTTGATATCAGGGAAACATCTGGAAATCAGATGAGATTCTAGACCTAGTTAACTAGATGGACCTGGAAAAGCTATGGATAGAGACTGTGGATCTAAACGGACCTGATTAATACTCCAAAGATCTTTTATTAATTTACCAACAATCTAGTTGGACTTCATTGCAGCCATTGGTAGCCAGGATGAAACTGGCTGTCGTAAGTAATAGTTAAGCATTGATCCACTGTGGCTTTTTTAAGACGCACTGAGCAGCTAATTTTATACCTGTTGATTGCATGTAAAGTCAATCCCAGAGATCTTCTTTTTGTTCAGATTCTGAATTTGTTCCAGTCAGATGAAACCATTTGTGAACAAAATCCAATTAATCCAGTTACACGGCAACAGCGTTAACAATGACTCAACCACAGCAATCAATAACTTGTATTCCCTTCTGGGTTCAACACCTGTCAGCTCTTGGTTCTTATACTGGAGGCCATTGTCACATCTAGTTACCAAAAACCCAAATACACATATTTGGTTCTGATAGAGACCAATAAAGTCCATGATACAAAGTTCCTAAGTTGATTATTGAACCATGTAAGCATAGAGACATCAATGTCATTGATGTATGACATATAAAAAGAAAATAACCTGGTATTCAGTCCAATGTATTTATGACAACAGAACCCAACAGAACTTATCATCACATGGCCACAATAACAGATATAAACAGAAGTTACAGCAGTTAGAAACAACTCACCTCTCTGATGGTGGAGATCCAGGAGATTGAAAGTTAATCCAATAATCCTTTGACCTGTCGCTCTTAAAGGAGACAGCTGGGTTCTGGTTCTCGTTCTGGTTTGAGTCTCTGATGGATCCTGACAGAAACATGATGATTAAAACTTAATCAGCAAAGAGGAGCAGCAGCAGCTTCATCACCACGTCTGTTCTGGCCTGATATAGTGAACGCTGTGTGAAAAGGGCTGTGGACAGTTAGAGATGGTGACCTCACCTCTGACCTTTGCTCTGGCTCTCATCTTCCCCACACAGAGTGGTTTTAGAGGGAGGGACTCCCTCCTCTCTGTCCTCACACTGATCCATGCTGCTGAATTCACATCAGCTCACACACACTTTCTAGCTTCACCTGCAGAGGAAACACACATCATTCATCTGCACATCAACTCTGATCATCCTTACATCATTAGTGCTGGAAAAAGATCAGCTGCTCCTCCTCTGATTGGCTCTTCTTCTCTGCTTCATATCAGTGTCAGGTGAATGCAGTCAGACAGCAGAGAGGCAGAGGAAGCTGCCATCAGCTGCTGCACTTCTACTATCAGTCCACTAGATGGAGACATGGAGCAACATTTACATTCACTGATTCAACCTGAAAAGGAAGGATTTTAATTAGTTAATTATTAATCTCTACAAGTGGATTATATGCAATTAAGTTTAAGTATTAAGTAATGCGAATTAAACACATCTTACTATAGCAGCATTTGTCCTACTTCCTTTTGAATGAAAGTAGGAGAAACTTGTGTTTGTCTTTAATGGTGGAGACCAGAGTTTGATGGAATGGGAAAAAATCATGAGTCAATTTGTTCAGACCAGAACAAAAACATCAAATGTTCATCGTATTTGATTCTAGTTCATTAATAATCCTGTAGATTAACCTTCAAACAACAGAGATTAAAGTTTGATCTGAAATTAAAGGTAAACATTTTCTCCAAACATCAGAGAGAAAAATAACAAACTGGCTGTAAGTTTCTGAAGACAAAGTTCATGTAGAAAACAAAGCAAACTTACAGTTTGTTCAGACGATCCAAAGAGTTGAACAAGAATATGTGATCAACAAACTGAGACCCAACAGAACCAGACTGGTACCAAACCTTAACAGTGGAAATGAGGTGAAACTGGTTTGACTGGTTTGACTGAGAACTGTCAGATAAAAGTTTATCTGTTGACGTCTGAAGACATAAAATCTACTCATAACTCTCAGTTCGAACACAAATGTTCTGCTGCTGTTATTCTGCTGTTTCAGGTTCTGTTCAGCTCCAATGGAACCAGAATCTGTTTTAACTTGGAACCAACTGGACTCTTCATTGGTGGGGAAACTACAACCTGAATGACGTCTGATTATTGATTATTGATGAAGGGTTTTTAAATGATCCAAATATGACTGATAAAAAGTTATCAGAACCAGAACCTGTTGAGTTGGCAGCTTGTTGGATGTTTGGGGGAGAACCTGAACATTCAACCTCCAGGATTTACAGGAGGTTCTGGATTCTGACTCAGGAACCTGAACAATGAAAGATGAAACCAGTGACTCCTTGAAAATGGGATGTTTGGATCTGAATAAGCAGTGAACATGTTCTCTAAACATCAGAGAGCAAAAACTAGCAGGAAAGTTCCTAAACTCAAAGTTCAAGAAGGATAAAAAAATAAAACTTACTGTTTGTTCAAATGATCCAAATGGTTGACGAAGAAAATCTGAGCAACAAATGTTCCACACCTTAAACGGTGAATTCAAACTGAAAGAAAATGTGACAGATGTTGCAGAACTTCTTACCTGATTTGTAGTTTCTTCTGTCAGAGCCAAGCCCCGCCCCTTTCTGCTTGCTGCAGCGAGGCGAGAGGTCTCACTCTGAACATATCTCTTGTATCTAATCAGATGCTCTGTGCTACAATTCTAGTATTTTAATATATTTATTGTTTTGTCTTAAAACGTTACATTTTCATAACATTTTATAATTTCTTTGTGTCAAATGAAAACCTGCTAATTCTTGTTTTGTTTTCAATTGATTGTTTAATTACTTCTGTTTTACTGATTACTTTTTGTTGCCGTCGCTGACCCAAAACATTTTTACAATGCAAAACAAAGTAAGTGACAGTAAATAAAATTCTATTTAAAACAATTACATCGACATACTTCAATTTTTTCTCTGCTGTACTAAAAAAACAATCACAGTTCACCTTGACAGGTAATTGTCAGTTACATCAAGTACAAATAAAAACTGATCTTTGGAGTTTAAAAACAGTATTTTTAAATCATTAGTACAACAGATGTATTGCAACGTTTTACAGAAACCCATTTCTGCCAATCTAGTGAAAGTAAAGCCTTTTATCTCATAATTATGGCTCGGCTAAATCACTATTATGACTCATAATAGCAAAGTTTTAGTGGAGATGTGGAACTGGGATACAAGCTTCCTTTGTTTTTTTCAATCAAATGAGATTCATAACTTTTAAACAGTTGCAGAAAAAATCAATACACTGTAAAAAAGCATCAAACGTCTGTTGTGTAGTGAATAAAAACCATATTCATGTGGAGGAAGTGAAAGTTGTCTGTTTCTGGTGAACTCTGAAAAACCTTAGATAATATCAGTTAAAACATTTAATTTCCCTTAGGGATAAAAAATGTTATTTTTATTGAATTTGTGTCAATTAATCTCAGTATAAACTATAAAATGTCTTTCCTGCAGGCATGTTGGATCAGACACATCTCCATTTAATCATAATTTCCAGATATAATCTCAAACTGAAACAGATAAACAAGCAAAGTTTTTTAGTCTTCCTGTATTTTTTTCTGCTTGCATTTTTTCTACTAGCAGCAATAAAACAAAGAGACAGAAATGGAAAGAAAAACTTTATTAGAGCATAAATTTGACTTATTTTTGCTTCCTCAGAGGTTTTCAGGTTTTCAGGTCTTCAGGTTTTCAGGTTTTCAGGTCATCTGGTTTTCAGGTTTTCAGGTCTTCAGGTTTTCAGGTCTTCAGGTTTTCAGGTTTTCAGGTCATCTGGTTTTCAGGTTTTCAGGTCTTCAGGTTTTCAGGTTTTTAGGTTTTCAGGTAGCAAAGTCTCCAAGGTCTCCAAGGTGAACAGCCTCTGGCGTGTTGGAAGAAGGGAGTTAAGGGAAGTCGGCAAGTCAGATCTGTAACTTCGGGATAAAAATTGCCTCAGGCCTTCTGTTTTTCAGGTCTTCAGATTTTCAGGTTTTCAGGTTTTCAGGTCTTCAGGTCTTCGGGGTTTCAGGTTTTCAGGTCTTCTGGTTTTCAGGTCTTCAGGTCTTCAGGTTTTCAGGTCTTCAGATTTTCAGGTTTTCAGGTTTTCAGATTTTCAGGTTTTCAGGTCTTCAGGTTTTCAGGTCTTCAGGTCTTCAGGTCTTCAGGTTTTCAGGTTTTCAGGTCGTCAGGTTTTCAGTTCTTCAGGTTTTCAGGTCTTCAGGTCTTCAGGTCTTCAGGTTTTCAGGTCGTCAGGTTTTCAGTTCTTCAGGTTTTCAGGTTTTCAAGTCTTCAGGTTTTCAGTACGGTCCGCACAAAGCCAGCAGGACTTTCTGATAATGTCCTTTGGTGTCGTTCTGTTAAAACAAAAATAAAAAATCATTATTGATGTGGTTTGAAACGTAAACATAGAAACAGTTTGGGAAACGTATTTTACCACGATGTCCTCATGGAGGGTTCTGTCAAACATTGCCCGGTACTCCTCTACGACCTTCTGCAGGTCGACCTCGGAGCGGCTCACCAGGATCCGGATCAGAGTGTGATCCCTCGTACCGTGGCCCTGGTAAGGCACAAAATGGACCACATGAAGTTTGAGTTGGACATTTTGATTCCTTTTTATGGATCTTAGTTTGGTTAAATTATTATGTTATGTTAATGTAACAAAAACTGTATGTTGCATAAAAAAACTGTCAACAATCTTAGAAATATCTTAGTTTGGTTAAGTTAAATTTTCAACTTTCTAGAAAATGTCAGCGATAAACATAAAGATTCTGGTTTTTCCAACAAAGTTTATAATGATCAAATTCAGACATTTCTTTGTTTTTTCTGCAATATTTCTGAGATTAAACTAAACATTTCTGAAGTTTTTCTAGCAAATTTTCAACTTTCAGCCTCAGAAATTTACCATTTTAGATGAATCTCAAAATTAAAAATTTTCCACCACATTTTGAACTTTACAAACTCAGAAATGTCAAAGGATTTTCTAGCAATTTTCTCAGATTAAAGTCAAAATTTGAGATTTTCCAGCAAATATTTGACATTTCAATCAGAAATTTCAACTTTTTTTTCAGAACATTCCTGAGATTATAAAACTTTGATCTTTTTTAGCATTAGTGTTCTCTTCCTTTTTCTATCTACACTGCTATTAATACGGCATCATAAAAAACAATTTTTCAAACATCTGGAATTTAATTACAGACAAAACTGATTTTATGTTAAGATGGCTTTCCATATGACTCCAAACTAAGGAGTTTATTAAAACATGGTAAAATATGAACACTGTAGCCGTAATAATCCAGAGTAATCCCTATTTTAACCATGTTATTAGTGGAATTAGGAGCAGCAGACGCGTTCACTCACCTTCATGGCCCGATTGAGTTTCTCAGCAAAGAAAGCCGGTGTGTTCCAGGCGCATTTCACTGGACATGAAAGAGGAAACGGAAAATAAAAACTCTGTCACAGACAAAAACAACAGAGTCCAGATGTTTCTGCGTCTCCCAGCTGTGGAGCTTCAGGGTTCAGCTCAACCAGAAACTTTTCAAGATGAACAAAAAGGTGAGAAACATTTAAACCAGCAGGATTCTGATGGAGTCAAACCAAACAAAAAATAAACAATTTTCTGTTCAGTTTGCGATCCGAGTCTAAGAGTAAACAACATATTAGGGGCTTTGCAGATAAAAAAAAAAAATAGCACAATTATGCCAAAAAAACACAATTTTTAGACAAATTTTTGAGCTCCGAAAGTCAAACATTTTATAGAAAAAAAACTCAAAATTTTAAGATTAATTCTAAAAATTTTCTCCAAAAAATGCAGAAATTTTAGTTTTCAACTTTTTAAATTAATTTCAGAAAATTTTGAGAAATAAAAAAGTCAAACACTCAAAAATGTAACAATTTTCTGAGATTGAAAAGTAAAAAATTTGATTAGGATGTAAATGTGGAAATTATTGGATTTACAAGTGCTGCCACATCTAGAACCACCACTAGAAGGAGCAATTCATCATATTTATTTTTCATATTCAACAAGTGAGACATAAAATTCTAATATTCTGAATATTTAAAATGTTAAATTTTCTTTAGAAATGAATATATTTTGCATATTTCAGAGCATTAATAACTAATCATGTTATTAGTTGGGAGATTGATGAGTTGTGGTGACAGGCCTTCCCACCGATGTCGATGAGGCAATCCTCGATGTCTCCCTTCAGCTCCAACTGCAGGGCTTTAGGCAGCGTCAGGTCGCTGATGGCAGCATAATGTTGGAACGCTGGCAGGAAACAAAAACACAACTTTCATTTCAACTAATGACCTGAATATATGTTACTGCTTTTAAATACATTCCTGCTGTAAAGCAGAAGATATTGTATCCATGAGGAAAAACAGGAGAATACATGGTGGAAGTTGGAACTTATATTTGTGTTTTTTTTCTTGAAAACCTGAGAGTAAATGTTGAATTGGATTAGACTTAACATATGGAAGAAGATTATGGCCACTAAAATATCCTGTTCAATCTAATCTAATCTCAAAATGTTGGCTTATCCTCTGAAATCTGACTTTTTCTAAATATTAGAATCCTACCACTAATCTCAAAATTCTAATTAATCTAAAAACTTTTGGCTTTTCCCCAGAATTTTAAAAAATGTTTCTGAAAATGTCAAAAATTTTACCTTTAGACTCACAATCCTAATTTTAATCTCAAAATTTCTGTTTTTCCTCATATGTTAAATTTCCCTTTAAGTCCAGAAATTTTTGGGGAAAAAGAACAGAATTCAATTTTTTTTATTTATCAAAATTTCAATTTTAATCTCAGAATTCAAAATTTTTCCAGAATTCAGCCTGTCAAAAAAAAACTAGATGTCAGACTTTTTGAAAATATTAATTAACACTTTTTACACTTTTTTCCATAAAAATATCAGAATCCTAAATTTAATCTCAGAAACTTCCCCCCTCTAGTGGCCTGGATGTTTTCCTGTCTGATTAAAACTCAACATCATATCAAATTCTTGTGACATAACTTGTTCAGGTCATTGAATATTTTTCAGCCAGTCTTCTGTTTGGCGCCCAGGTGTGACCCGGTCACCTGTCAGTGCGACTCCACCTGTTTGTCCAGGTGTAACGTCACTTTGGAGTGAAACTCAACAATTGACACGTTTCTGTGACTCACTTTTAGAAAGCTGCGGGCCGCTGCGCGTGGTCAGGATGTTGATGAAGGTCGACACGTTTGCTTTTCCGATGCCTTCACCAGCTTCAAACAAAATCTGGACAAGAAAACATAAAAATGAAATGAGGACATTTAGTCGCCTGATAAAAGCAGAAATACTTAAATCTTAAAATCTCAACTTCAACACGAGAACTTATGGTTTTTTCATACTTGTACACAAATCAAAATAATAAACAAAGAAAAATCATTAAATATAGAAAGCTGAATGACTCAGATTTGCGTTTCTTGATTTAATTTCTACCTTGGCGTCCTTTCTGGCCTGCTCCATGTCCACCACAGTGTTCTGGTATCTCTTGGTGTTCAGCATGGCCAGCAGCGCCGCGGTGAAGTCACCGCTGGTCTCATCCTTAATCACCTGCTCCAGCTCCTTCTGGTACTCTGACCACAAGATTCAGCTCAAAACCTTCAACTTTTAAACTGAACAAATGGATTCAGGAATAACAAAGAGAAAATAAGTGGACAGTCTGGACCAATGAGAAAGAAACAGGAACAAAATGGCTGCTGGCGGGATCGACCTGCATGAGCTGGAGTTCCATCACTGCAATAACTTAAGTATTTCTGGCCGAGTTTCTACTGTAAATATTTTATTACACTTGAAAAAGAACAAAAATATCTTACAATTCACAAATTCAGCAAAATATATGAGTTTGGTTTTAGTAAACAATTCCTTAATATTGATTTTAAATAAGTTCCAGTTTAACTGACAGATTATTTCACTTGCAACCAAACAATTTTTTCCATGCAAGTAAAATTATTTGTTGCTAAAAAGTGAATTGCAAGTTACTTTGCTGTATGTCGAGTGTACTAAGGTATTTGCAGTATAAATTAGAGCAAAATTACTTGATCAGATTTTGTGTGTTTGAAGTATTTTGATCTCATATTATTATGCAGTAAACAAAGAGTTCTGCTGAAATCTATAGACGAATGCAGTCGGTGTTTAAACGGATCAATAAAAGACTCAAACTGTTGAAGTGACTGTGAGAGAAAGAACATGCAGCAACAAACACATAGATAATCGACATTAGATGAGCTAATTTAGCTCCATCATAAGAACTACAGTAAATATCACAGATATTTTATCTTAATTGAGTTCTGAAGTCGTTCTAATGAACTTTTATTGTTTATAAGTTATAAAGGAACAAAACGAGAGCTACTTCCTGGTTTCTGGCTTGTTTACTGATGTCACAGCAACCGCCTGCAGGTGTGACGTCACATGAGAACAGGTGTGACGTCACATGAGAACAGGTGTGACGTCACATGAGAACAGGTGTGACATCACATGAGAACAGGTGTGACATCACATGAGAACAGGTGTGACGTCACATGAGAACAGGTGTGACGTCACATGAGAACAGGTGTGACATCACATGAGAACAGGTGTGACATCACATGAGAACAGGTGTGAACAGAGAGTCTGGTATAAAAACCTTGTTTGAAGACTTTCTTTATTTCCTGAAGTTCTGCGTAGGATCTGGTGGCCAGAACCTCGACCAGGACGTCCTCGTCTGTCCCCAGACCCTGTGGCAACAGACGGGGAGACGACATTTATCAGCAACGCACGGCAACGTTGATCCTAAAGCACAGGGGGGTCCAAAGTGAGGAACGCGGGCCACATGTGGCCCCTGGGCTGAGTCTGTGTGGCCCCCTGACAACAATTCAGAAATGAAACAAGATCGTCCTGCCAGTGCATGATGGTTGATACAGATGGAGAATTTTTGTTTCACATAAATTTAAAAAATTACTTGTTATAAGTGAAATAATCTGCCAATAGGACTAAAACTGTTTCATCAATACTAAGGAATTATTTTCTTTAAAACAAGATCCTACTTTGCTGAGAAGTTCTCAAATATCTTAGTTAAAGTGAACTACGATATTTGCATGAGAATCTAGACCAAAGTTACTTGGTAAGGTTTTATATTTTTGCAGCATAAACAGGACAAAAAAGAGACAGAACCATCATTTAAACTAAATTCCCTCCAAAAGGTAAAAGGCACCAAATGTTGGACCAAAAGTAAAGACAAATTATCCTGAGAACTTCTTCTACATAATCCCTACTTCTAGATAATCTATGTGAATTCATTTTAAATATTAATATTTAATACAAAGGTGCATTTTTATGTTAATAATTTTGGATGGTGGCATTTTAAACTCGTTTTATTCGCACTGCAGATAAAAATGATTCAGTATTTTTCATCTTGCTGACAGTTAGGATTGTAAATCTGAGCCGGTTTACCTTGGTGGCTCTCCTGAGCAGGAAGGCATCGAAATGAGCTGGAGGCATCAGCAGAGCCAGAACCACGTCCTCCAAATCGGACCTGAGGACCGGCTTCAGGGATCCAACCAGATTCTGGAGAAAATGACAACATCAAAAGTTATTTTATCACTTTTGAACCTGAATTACTTAAATAAACTTTATGGTGAAGTTACTGAGATGTTCCTGAAGTTTCATTAAAAGTCCCATTAATAGAATTTAACACATTAATCAAAAATATTTGTTTCCACTATAGAAAATGAAGCTAAACAAAAATATCAGATATCCCACCAAATCTACAGAAATTAAAGTGCCTCTATTTATTAATGTATTTATGTAATATGTTATTGTGAGACATTGTTAATAAACCTGTAGTAGCTCTAATTACATAACATTGCATTTTATTGTAGTAATCAATGATATAAAATAAGAAAGATCAAAAATCTTGCTGAACTTTATTATTGTTCAATTAAACCCACATTTAATTAAATTTAATTTATATTATATTATAATAAAAAAAGTCTTTGCAGCCATTTTAAGTTATTTAAAACTGTAATCTCTCTGCTCTGTCCGCCATTTTTACATCTTTTGCATCTTTGTGCAGCAACAACTTACTTTTCCAGAGGACGATTCGTAAACGGCTTTAATTTTCTGCCTCTGCTCGTTGTTCCTCTTCACCAGAATGGCAACGATCACATCCACATCCACCTCTAGACAGAAAAAAATACAACTATTGCTAAAAATGGTCATTTCTCCAAAGCTAAAACCTCAATGAAAACCAAAAATGACCTGAAATGGTAAAGTTTTTCAGTAATTTATCAAAATTAAAACATGCATATCACAGAAACAAGAACATTTCTGGTCACACACTTTTACTTTCAATGGCGCTCTGAAGGGTCGATGCATCACTGCTGGCACTGAAGTTTGGATACAGAGTCACCGTCCCGTAGAACTTTGGTTTGGCTTCCTCCTTCACCTTCATAACCAACCAAACTCAGATTATTACCAAAACAATAAATACTGCTGAAAACATAAGAAGGCTCCAGGAAATGATAATGGACATGTTTGATTCACAGCAGGGGTCCCCAAAGTGGATCCTCGAGGGCCGGCATGCTGCAGGTTTTAGTTCTCCCCCTAGTGGTACAAACAACCTTCTCAGCATGTCAGTGTTTTTCTCAGGCCTTCTGATGAGCCACAATTTGATCCAGGCGTTTTAAACCAGGGAGAAAAGTAAAACATGCAGGATGTCGGTCCTTGAGAACTTCTTGGGGATCCACTTTGGGGACCCACTGTGGGGACCCACTTTGGGGACCCACTTTAGGGACCTCTGGTTTACAGAAATCAGTCCAAAGATGAATCTCAGCAAAGATTCCCACTGATTTGTTACAATAATTCAGTTCAAAAAGTGAATTGCATGTGAAATTATTCTGTTTTCAGCTGTTTTCTGTTAATGTTTTTTCTTCCACTAAACTTTCCATACTTGCATAAAACACACTAAGCTACCTGCTTTTTTTTTTGTAAAATACATTTTATAGTTTAAAATATTTAACATTATTAGCATAGTAGACATTTGAACTGGTCTTGTGTAATATTTAAATTTTATGAGAAGCTATTTGTGGTTTTCTTAACCTGATTATCAAAATTGATACATTTTGAGCACTGAATGTAAATGTTTCACTTTTTGAACTGAATTATTGAACTATTCTAAATGTATTAACCTGTACCTGTATGCTCACCTTGACAGTTTCATCCTTTGGGTCTCTGTCGTGGATGATGCCTTTGAAGAACTTGTGAAGTAGATTTTTATTTAAAGAGAAATCTTTTATTTGCATCATACTGTGTAGCATATTGAAAATGTTTTTTCGTGCAGCTGCAGAGGGTGTACAAACTAACTGAACAAGATGTGTCTGTTGAAGTTTCCCAGACGGATTATCTGGGAACTTGCTGTTTTTCCCTGCATGGAGATCAAGTGTTTAGTTTTCACATCCCGTAGACATGATAGTGAATGAGAGTAAAAGGTTGAACTGTTCTGTCTGTTTTCCTTTGTTTTGTTTGTTTGGTCTTAGCAGATTGAGTCTCTGCCTCTGTTTGCAGAGAGAGGTGAATAAAGCAACTATGCAACTCTGAGTTTGTTACAGCAGAATGATTTTCGCCTAATGCAGAGGATTTTTGCTCTCCATCTGCAGATGTATTAAAGATTGTTTTTGCTCCCTGACTTTTGTCTGGACCTCAGTCTCTGAATTGTGCTCTTCACACCGTCAAAGGTGTAGCACTACACAAACCTCGTTGGGCGCCTGTTGACATTCTGTGATTCAATCCACAATGACCTTCAAAGACCCAGGTTCTCCATCCAGTGAGCTCATCCTCCTCAATCACTGACTGTTTGCCACCGCATCCATCCGATCCATTGCTGCCGTGGTCCAATGGTTTCACGTCCTTTCAATCACTGTCAGTATGCCATTGTGTCCATCCAACCCTTTTCTGCTGAGGCCACAGCCTGATAATTCAGCTCTGTAGTGATAGTCCAGCTAGCAACCACTTCACCAGCGCCTAACAGCCCAAACTCTCTGTCTGCTCCACATAGTCTCCATCGCTTTGTTCAAAAACATCAGAGGTCATCAAACTCCAAAATGGGCAAATTCCTTGACAGTATAGAAGCCAGTTTAATACTGAACTAGTTAAGTGTTGATCCGTTGCTGCTCTTTTATGACACGGCGAGTGGATAACGTTGTACCTGTTGATTGCATGTAAAGTAAAACTCAGAGATCTTTGTTGTTCAAATTCTGAATTTGTTCCAGTCAGATGAACCATTTGTGAACAAATCCATTTATTCCATGATACACAGAAACAGCGTTAACAATGACTCCACCACAGCAGTCAGAAACTTGTATGGCCTCCAGGTTCAATAACTATCAGCTCTTGGTTCTTATACTGGAGGCCATTGTCCCATCTAGTCACCAACAACCCAAAACACACATATTTGGATCCTGTGAAGTCCATGATACAATCTTCCCAAGTTGATTATTGAGAGACATCAATGTCATTAATGAAGAGCACATATTAAAGAAAATAATATTCAGTCCAATGTTTTCATGACAACAGAACCCAACAGAACTTATCATCACATGGCCACAATAACAGATATAAACAGAAGTTACAGCAATTAGAAACAGCTCACCTCTCTGATGGTGGAGATCCAGCAGATTTAAAGTTAAGAATGTCATCCTTTGACCTGTCGCTCTTAAAGGACACACAGCTGGGTTCTGGTTCTGGTTCTGGTTTGTGTCTCTGATGGATCCTGACAGAAACATGATGATTAAAACTTAATCAGCAAAGAGGAGCAGCAGCAGCTTCATCACCACGTCTGTTCTGGCCTGATATAGTGAACGCTGTGTGAAAAGGGCTGTGGACAGTTAGAGATGGTGACCTCACCTCTGACCTTTGCTCTGGCTCTCATCTTCCCCACACAGAGTGGTTTTAGAGGGAGGGACTCCCTCCTCTCTGTCCTCACACTGATCCATGCTGCTGAATCCACATCAGCTCACACACACTTTCTAGCTTCACCTGCAGAGGAACCAACTGAACTCTTCATTAGTGGGAGTTTCTCTCCAAGCAGCATCAAAACACAGACTGGTGACCAAGGCAGTGATGTCTCTAGGACCATCCTGCATGGTCTAGTTTCTGCCTGGTTGTAACTTTCTCCTCAGCATGTCAGTGTCCTGCTTAGGCCTCTAATGAACCATCATTTGGTTCAGGTTTGTTGAATCAGAACTACAACATGCAGGATGTCGGCCCTCCAGGACAGACTTTGGACACCACTGGCCTAAAGCACTGCATGAGATCAGGCTGAGGCCTGGAGAACACTGACCATACATCACTGATACCAAAGATATCAACATGCATTGAACCAGCCTGCATAGACAAAAACTAAATACATTTTCATCCAATGTGTTGTTTGCAACCTCAGTGCTTTGAACAGTTTCATACAAGATACTCTTACATTTTTACAGGTTTATTAACAAAGAGACTGTACTGCCATCTTATAGAAAACTGTCATGTTCAATATTGTTACTTTGTAAAAGTGAAAATGTCCACAATAATATCATACTGTCTCAGAGGAGCCAAAATAATAATAAAATGAGATCAAATGGTTGAATGAAAGTAAGAGAATAAAGAATGTATTAGTGAACATTAGACTATGATGAGAGCTGAATGCAATATTTTATTTTTATGCATTCTGTTAACTAATGTCAAAATATATCAAAAATTATGATATAAAGCATTTCATAGGGAAAAAAATTAAAGTGCATGTTGTCCACCTGAGTGGATATTTGGATAAATCCTAGAAATTTTTTTTACAAAATTCTTTTCACACCAAAGTTAGATGTTTTAAGAAAATCAAAAATACTTCAGAAAAATGACACTGACTTAAAAAAAATCATAATTAATGCATCAAAGAGATTTTACCTGCCAACAGTCATCATGATTTACAAAAACACTTTGAAGACTTTGAATTTATGAGCTACAACATTTAATTTAATGGTCTCCAACATGGTGGGTCCATTAAACTGAGAAGCTTCTAAAAACGTCCCAGAGCTTCATAATGTAGAACCATCAGCAAATAAAGTAAATGTGAACCAGTTAGATTCACTATAAATATCATTTATATAAAGTAGAAACATTTAGGACCCAGTACTCTAATAACCTCCAGTAAATCTGAATTTTATCTCCTCAGGTTTTGGTTAAATTTCCATGAAACTGTCTGACTTTGTCAAATATCAGGGTTTCCCCCACAAGGTTCTCATGAGAACTTATTGGAGTTCTGGTCCATTCCTCCTCACAGAACCAGCAGAACTGGGTCAGGTTTGACGGCTGTATTTGTATAAATATTAATATTTTATGACCAAATTGATAATAACATGACAATCACAGAGAAGCAGAATATTTTCCTCTCTTCCTTCTCCAACATGGTGGATCCATTAAAGTGAGACATGTCTGCTGTTGGCAGCAGCAAATAAAGTAGATTCACATTTGTTAACAAAATTATATTTTAGATTAAAATGTGTTTATTGTCCATTAAAACACACGAAGTAGAATTGCAGTTTATATACAAAAAAAACAACATTTGAATCCAAGATGATTTTAATAATATAGGAGTTATAGAAACAAAAAATATCCAGTGATTGAGAAAAACTGCAGTAAATTCAAAGAATCTGATGATAAATGAAAGGAAAAAATCAAGAGAGAAACAAAACATCTGGAGATTCATTGTGAATTTTTGACTGGAAACAGATAAAACAACATGATGATCCAGTTATAATCCTGGAATAATCCTGGAATAATCCTGGAATAATCCCAGGATTGTGTAGAAAAGTTTAACCAAGACACAGATTGGATTCATAAAAATATATTTCTCAATGAAACAGACATATAGACACTGAACTATCATTTAATCAGTGAGATTTTCTAGCTGGATGAGAAACTTTAGACTTTTTAGACTCAAATCAGCTCAGAAACACTGAAGAACCAGAACTGAACCAGAACCCAAATCCAGGAATCAGAGGTTCAGTGAATGTGGTGTTGAAGGTGTGGAGGAGGATCAGTGAGTCAGAGGAGACTCTGTAGAAGGACAGAATGCCAGCAGGACAGTCCACATACACTGCTACTCTGTTAGAGACAGAGGAGGAGGAGAGACGAGTTTCTATGTCATTGTGCCACACAGAGTGGCCAAGAAGATCAGAGCATCTCAGAATTATCATTCAATCCAAATACACAGTCTCTACTGTTTCCTTTCCTCCTGATTCTTCTGTAACTCACTGATATATCAACATCTCCTCTCCACTCGACCTCCCAGTAACAGCGACCAGTCAGACCAGTTCTACACAGCAGCTGAGGCCAGTTATCAAATCTGTCTGGATGATCAGGATATGACTGAAGATCCTCCATCCATGTCACCTTCCTGTTGTCTTCAGACAGTTTGAGTTTTCTGTTCACTGTGTTTGTGTCGATGGTGAGTTGACAGGAATCTGATGGAGAGAACAAACACAATCCAGCTGCAGTTATTGATCATTTATTGACACTTTGACTCCTGAATGAGTGATGTGACAGTTTGAAGATGGTTGAATGTGAGCTCCTTTGTTGTCATGAATCAGATGAAAAACACTTACATCTCTTCAGTCTCCATGGACCTGGAGTCAAGAATCGGCCTCCAGCAGGCTCCACCCTGAAAGGAGGAGGGGGGTCAGACCATCAGTCTCTTTCAGCACTTCCTCTACCAACCAGCACCACCAGGTGGCGCTGCACACATTTACAATGAGCCCAAGAAGAAGAAGCAGCATCCTGAACCCAGCAGCTGCAGTAATGGCTTGTGAAAGTAATCCTCCCTCCACTGCAGAAGTTCTGGATGAGCTGATCTTGTTTTTATCTTTCCTAGTAAATTTATCAGAACTTTGGATCTGAACCAGTTTCTGCTCTCATTTTTACTTTTTCTATTTTTTCCTCATCATTCACTTCAATTCTTCCTTCCTTCTGGAAAACAAGGGATTTCTTTTATTCCCTGATTTCATTCATACTTTTGATCATTTTCCAGATGTCGCCCCCTGGTGGAGACAAACTGCCACATAGATGGATCTACTAAACTTCTAAATCTCTTTGACTTATGAATAGTTTTCTTCATTTTTCATGTGTTTTATATTTTAAAGTTTGCTTTAAATCTGAATTTATTTATTTCACTCTGAGATCTTTAAACATCCATCTGATCACCATGGAGCTGCTTTTCTTCTCCTCTTTGCTTCTGGGGGCTGATTGGTCTGAAGCTCCATCCAACATGGTTTTAATGTTTCTATCCTCAGTAAATCATCACAGGAATCTAACAGCTGAACTCCTTAGACTCCTGAATGAGTGATGTGACAGTTTGAAGATGTTGAATCAGAATAAATTCATTATTATTTCCAGCTCCTATTTAGCTCCAGGCTCTCCTCACGTTCTTAGTCAGAATAATTTTCCAAAATCAGCTGAAATCTTCCTAAACACGAGTGTTAAATCAAGAACTGATCCGTTTCCTTCATCAACATCTTTTGTCTCTTTTCCATCATTCAAACATCATCAGTTCGTATCTAAATGTTCTTCTGCTCTTTCAGTTACTTTCAGTTTTCTGTTTCCATCCCATTATATTCCATATGCATTAAAGTTACTACATGTTATTGATAATAATTATATGTTTCTTGATCAGTTTCTCTATTTATGTTTCTTGTTTCTTTCTTCCTGTCACTGAAACATTTAAACTGATTCTAAAATCTATATTTGCTCTCAGCCATGTCTCTTTATTACTAATTATTAGCGACTGTCAAACAAAGTCTCTGATCAAAACTTAAATCCAATCTGCAGTTAAGATGATTTTATTTTCCTCAATATCATCAAAGATCCAGAACATCAGTGGATAACAGATATTTGTGTCCAAAAGCATTAAAACCAGATTAACAGGTTTAAACAAAGATCAGAGATAAAAACATAAAAGCTTAAAGTGATCAGTAAAAACTAAACCTCCTCCATCATCACTGACTAAAGTCACCAGGTGAGCAACAGCTGATCAATAATCACTATTAACACCATGTGATCAAGCACTACATCTATACACAACACCAATAATATCTGATTTATGATGTTATTAATCTTCATATTTTAACTTCCTGTCCATCAGCCAATCAGCTTCTTGTATTTCCTCAGTAGATCCATCAGTGGAAGCCCCGCCCAGCCCATGATGCTCCTGGTTTGTGAAGACAGAGAGACAAACTGAACTCTGATAGGAAACAGTTTCAACTGATTTTCTCTCTCCAACCTCTTGGTTCCACATGGAGCTATATTTGGCCCCCTGCTGCTCTGAATACCATGTTATTGTGGTTCAGTAGATGGGTTGGTTTCCCAGGTTCATTCAGAACCATGTGGAAGATTCTTATAGTTTTTAATTGTATGTAGTTTGCAAAACTTACATAGTCAAAATTACCAGCAATATTTATAATTTAACTGTAATAAATACAAGCCAAATACTGAATTAGCAAAATAAATTTTAATCTTCAAACTAAATGTTTCCAGCAGACTGACTAAAGACATTTCTCCCTCTTCCTCCTCTATCAGACCTTCTCTGCTCCTGCAGCAGGTTCCTCCATACCTGAGAGCTTCCAGTCTCCGGTGTGGATCCTTCAGTCCAGCCGACAGCAGCTTCACTCCTGAGTCTCCTGGATGATTGTAGCTCAGGTCCAACTCTTTCAGATGGGAGGGGTTGGAGGTCAGAGCTGAGGCCAGAGAAGCACAGCCTTCCTCTGAGACCAAACAGCCTGATAAGCTGCAGACACAATTCATCACATGATGAGAAAATGAGAATATTGAGGTAGACACCAAGATCTGAACTGGATATTTTAATGTGAGGAAAACACTCAAGAAACTGGAGATTAACCTATTAATAACAAATAATAGAAATAAAATTGTATTTCATTCTGTAGGTAATAAAAATCAAAATTTGTCATTTGTAAAATTAATGAGAAAGTCTAACAACTGGTTGGAGGAAGAATCTTCATTAATGCTTCTTTGTACTCTGATGATGCAACAATCTGTCAAGTGTCCAGCGTTACACTAACAGTTAAAGCCTGATCTCCATCTTTTCTACATTCCTCTCTTCTTGGTTCTGTCAGCCTGGAATAAATGAAAACCAGCTGAGTTTATGTGTCAAGACGTAGCATGATTAGCCTCATCATAGTCAGACGTCTACTGATGTTATAATCTGATACTGAAATAAAATTTGCATAATATCCTATAGCAGGTAATGGACAGAAATCTGGTTTCACCAGGATTAAGAACATTTTACCTGAGAGTTTCCAGGTTGCAGTTTGGACTCTTCAGTCCAGCAGAGAGAAGCTTCACTCCTGAATCCTGCAGGTTGTTGTTACTCAGGTCCAGTTCTCTGAGACTGGAGGACTGGGAGCTGAACTGAGGACAGAGCTTCACAGCTTCTCTCTGAGAGGTTACAGCCACTCAGTCTGAGGAGACAGGGAGGAAAATATGTTATTAATTCATCAAATGTTTGTGTTACTTTACAGTCAATAATATTCTTTTTGGACTGATTGAAGAATAGGTCATATTTTTCTAAACTTTATAATATTTTTTATTTTGAACTAATTTATTCTATAGTTGGGACTCAAGACTTGAAGAACTGAACTACAGACAACAAGGACACTGGAGAGTGAAATATTAAAATATACAATAAACTGCATTAATTCAGTGACAGTTTCAATAGAAAGAAGAGAATTTTTGCTGCTTCAACATGTAACATCATGAATAGTCGCTGATGAGAGTCTGTCTCTCTTTTACTCATCACCTGCTAGCAGCAGACTAGGAAACAATGTATCTACAGTTTTTAATTGGATTTTGATTGCAAACTTACATAGCCAAAAATACCAGCAATATTTTATTTAAATGTAATAAATACCAGCCAAATACTGAATTAGCATAATCAATTTTAATCTTCAAACTAAATATTTCCCATCAGACTGACTAAAGACATTCTCCCTCTTCCTCCTCTATCAGACCTTCTCTGCTCCTGCAGCAGGTTCCTCCATACCTGAGAGCTTCCAGTCTCCGGTGTGGATCCTTCAGTCCAGCCGACAGCAGCTTCACTCCTGAGTCTCCTGGATGATTGTAGCTCAGGTCCAACTCTTTCAGATGGGAGGGGTTAGAGGTCAGAGCTGAGGCCAGAGAAGCACAGCCTTCCTCTGAGACCAAACAGCCTGATAAGCTGCAGACACACAATTCATCACATGATGAGAAAATGAGAACATTGAGGTAGAGACCAAGGTCTGAACTGGATATTTTCACAGGATGAAAACACTCAAGAAAATGAGTGTTTTCACAGGGATTGAGAATGAAGAGCAGCCAGAAACTCCTGAACACTCAGATGGACGAAGCAGAACACCTTGTCCTGGTACAGACCTCTCTCCTCTTTAAAGATCTGTGTGAACACTCCTGGTTCTTTCAGCCTGAAGTAAATGAAAACCAGCTGAGTTTATGTGTCAAGACTTAGCATGATTAGCCTCATCACAGTCAGACATCTACTGATGTTATAATCTGATAGTGAAATAAAATGTACATAATATCTTATAGCAGGTAATGAATAGAAATCTGGTTTCACCAGGATTGAGAACATTTTACCTGAGAGTTTCCAGGTTGCAGTTTGGACTCTTCAGTCCTGCAGAGAGAAGCTTCACTCCTGAATCCTGCAGGTTGTTGTTACTCAGGTCCAGTTCTCTGAGACTGGAGGACTGGGAGCTGAGAACTGAGGACAGAGCTTCACAGCTTCTCTCTGAGAGGTTACAGCCACTCAGTCTGAGGAGACAGGAGGAAAATATGTTATTAAAAAATTCCTCATAATTTTTAATTTTTTCGGATCAAAATATTTTTTGGAAAACTTTATTTTATTAGGGATGCTGAAAACAAATATTTTACTAATCGAATAATCTATCAATTATTCTTACAATTAATTTGGTAACAAACAATGATAAAACAAAATCTTGGTAAATCTGGCATAACAGCGGTGTTAATATTGCATAAAAATATCAGTCCAGTTTATTGACCATCTCTAACAGTTACTTTTCTTTAGTTTAGAAAATTAACTTGTAACAGTAATAGCTCACTTTCTAAATTAACCTGAAGTAAGACAAAAATCTGAAATACTATTCAATTTAGACACTTTGAAGAAACAATCCACCGATAAATAATCTGAAACATAAAGGACAGAACGCCAGACAACAAGAAGGCTGGAAAGAGAATTATACAGTTCTAAGTGTATTATACTTCTATTTTAGCATAAAGAGGACGTCATTTTCCTTGAATATCTAACATTATGTCCAGATGCTGAAGGAAGTCTTTCTCCCTGACCCCTCAGTTTGACACTTTGAAGAGACAATGCACTGACAAATAAACTCAAACATGGATATATATTCACCTCATCAACAGCAAATTTCTATCAAATAACTGCATTAACAATCTGTGTCCTTACAGAGCTTTGTTGGAGGCTTTAACCACTGGCAGCAGCCTCAGAAGAACCTCCTCTGAAGCAGAGTATTTCTTCAGGTCAAACACATCCAGATCTTTTCCTGATGACACTAAGATGAAACCCAGAGCTGACCACTGAGCAGGAGACAGTTTATCTGTGGAGAGACTTCCTGAACTCAGAGACTGTTGGATCTCCTCCACTAGAGAACGATCATTCAGTTCATTCAGACAGTGGAACAGATTGATGCTTTTCTCTGCAGACACATTCTCACTGATTTTCTCTTTGATGTACTGAACTGTTTCCTGATTGGTCTGTGAGCTACTTCCTGTCTTTGTCAGCAGACCTTGTAGGAGTCTCTGATTGGTCTGCAGTGAAAGTCCCAGGGGAAGCGGAGGAACAAGTCCAGGTGTCCATTTGGACTCCGTAAGGCCTGGTCAACAGCTCTCTGATGGAGAGACTTTAGTTTAGATTTATTAAATAGTGAAGATTTCTTAGATCTTTGTGTTTCTTCCATCAGGTTGACTCCAGAGTTGATGAAGGTCAGATGAACATGAAGAGCAGCCAGAAACTCCTGAAACACTCAGATGGACGAAGCAGAACACCTTGTCCTGGTACAGACCTCTCTCCTCTTTAAAGATCTGTGTGAACACTCCTGAGTACACTGAGGCTGCTCTGATATCGATGCCACACTCTGTCAGGTCTGATTCATAGAAGATCAGGTTTCCTTTCTGCAGCTGATCAAAAGCCAGTTTTCCCAGAGACTCAATCATCTTCCTGCTCTTTAGACTCCAGTGTGGATCTGTTTCAGCTCCTCCATCATACTTGACCTTCTTCACTTTGGTCTGAACCACCAGGAAGTGGATGTACATCTCAGTCAGGGTTCTGGGCAGCTCTCCTCCCTCTCTGGTCTCCAACACATCCTCCAGAACTGTAGCAGTGATCCAGCAGAAGACTGGGATGTGGCACATGATGTGGAGGCTTCGTGATGTCTTCATGTGGGAGATGATCCTGCTGGCCTGCTCCTCATCTCTGAATCTCTTCCTGAAGTACTCCTCCTTCTGAGGGTCATTGAACCCTCTGACCTCTGTCACCATGCCAACACAATGAGGAGGGATCTGATTGGCTGCTGCAGGTCGTGTGGTTATCCAGAGGAGAGCAGAGGGAAGCAGTTTCCCCCTGATGAGGTTTGTCAGCAGAACATCCACTGAGGTGGACTCTGTAGCATCAGTCAGGATCTCCTTGTTGTGGAAGTCCAGTGGAAGTCGACTCTCATCCAAGCCATCAAAGATGAACAACCTGGAAGTGTTCAAAGCTGCAGATTTCTTTGGTTTCACTAAAGAAGTGATGAACAAGTTCCACCAAGCTGAACTTTTTCTCTTTCAGCACATTCAGCTCTCTGAAGGTGAATGGAAATATCAACTGGATGTTCTGGTGGGCTTTGTCTTCAGCCCAGTCCACAGTGAACTTCTGTGTTAGGACTGTTTTCCCAATGCCAGCCACTCCCTTTGTCATCACTGTTCTGATTGGTTGATCTCTTCCAGGTGGGACTTTAAAGATGTTCTTGTCTGATTGTTGTTTCTGGTCTGTGTGGTTTCCTGGATGCTGTTTCAATCTGTCTGAATTCATGTTCATCATTGACCTCTCCAGTCCCTCCCTCTGTGATGTAGAGCTCTGTGTAGATCTGGTTCAGAAGGGTTGGACTTCCTGCTTTAGCAATTCCCTCAAACACAGACTGGAACGTCTTCTTCAGACCAGATTTAAGTTGATGTTGATAAACTGCAGCAAATTGTTCTAATAACACAAAAAGTAAAATCAGTAACTAAACAAAATGATGTTAATAAATGTGACTCCATCTCTTCGAACAGCAGATCAAATCTTTGTAGAAATCCTCTTACTGCTATGCAAATGGTCAGCCAGCTTCTCTTGCTTCATCCTCCTCAGGAAGTTCAGTGTGATCTTCATCACTGCCTCTCTGCTGCTCCTCCTCTGTTCTTCATCATCACCTTCCAACACCTCATCATCTCTCTGACTCTCTGAATGTTCTGGGTAATCTGGACTCAGAACTCTCTGGATCTTCTTCAGTTCTTTCTTCACAAAAGTGACAATGTTGTCCTCCAGCAGCTGGAAACAGAATAATAGATGAAGGAAACATCAGAGTGAAATCATGGAGCCAAACACCAGATGGATGTTGGACAGACTGACAGTCCTCTGGTCTACAAAGTGCAGCATGAAGGTAATTTTGAACAGAACTCATGGAAAGGTATTTGTTGTTCATATACAGACTATAAATATGGAGTCCAGCTCTGTTTGATGCTGCTGGGCAGATGGACCCCTGGGAACCTCTGAGCTCTGCTGGTCCACTCTGTGGAGGAACCAGGAACAATTAGGAAGTCAGGAAATATTCATCCAACAATTAACAGATTAAATCATCAAAAGTTTCACAATAAAATCCCGTAAAGCAGAAAAATTGATTATCACAGAAACATAATACAAAGACATTAGAAAGAGGAAGATGAAATACACAGATGAAGTAATAAAACAACACCAGAATCATCCAATAGACATTCAAAAAAATTGGTGCTGAACTTGGACTTCAAACAGTCCAAACTGTCATCAGATCTGATGCTGGTGGAGACAGTTTCCCAGAGCTTGGGGACAGTGGAAGTGAAGGTTCTGTCCACACAGGTCTTCAGGACAGTGGGACATCCATCAGGTTCTGATGACTAGATCTTAGGTGATGTGGACATGGAGGAGGTCTGAAATATGTGGGTGTGTCCATGTGGGATCCTCTCCTGGATGTTATAGTGAGGATTTTAAAATGGATCCTGTAGATCCTTGGAAGCCAGTGAGCTCACATTGTATCTGTCCACACAGAGACAATCAGAAGGTAAAGGTCCATGAAGTGATATCTGGATGTGAGCAGTGAACCAGGTGATCTAAGTAGTTGTAAAGATTTAATGTTCCTGCTGATCCCATTAAGAACCAGCAGAACCTCTGATGGTCCACATCAGCTCAGTTTGGTTGAGTTCCAGCAGATCTCACCAACCACATCATGAAGCTTTCCTTCCCTGCTGAACTGCTCTCACAATGCACACAGGAACCAAGTCCTGATGGACCAGAATGGCTTTACCAGGTATTTCCCAGTGGAAATGTGATCCACTGTTAGTCTGACATGGAGCCAGGAAGCAACAGAACATCATCATCAACATCCAGAGATAAAGATATGAAGGTGTTTTCATGAGAACAGAGCAGATGATTTCTTTAGATAATGGATCAAACCTCTGGAAATATAACTGGAACCATCTGAGTTCTTACTGGTTCAGTTTCCAGAGTTACAGCAATTAGATACAGCTCACCTCTCTGATGGTGGAGATCCAGGAGATTTAAAGTGAATGTTACGATCAATTGACTCATCGCTGCTGGTTTCTGATTCTTCTTCTTGTGTAAAACTCTGATGGATTCTGCCAAAAAAGAAACTCATTAAAATCTTTCATTGGAGTTTTGCTTTGAATAGATTTTTAAGGTGGTTCATTGTAAAACAAAGGGCTGTGAGAGACAATAGAACCAGACAGATCATCAGCCTAATGTTCTAAATGATTCCTATCAGAACCGGTCCAATCCTCCAACATGTTCCTGATCATTGATCCTCCTGAATAATGTCCAGCCTTCTTTAAAGAGCAGAAAGATTTGTTTCTGAGACCAACATGTTGGTTTGAAATGACTGAGAGAACAGTTTGGTGATCTTAGTGTTGAGCTCTGACATGGAGCAGAACCAGGAATCATTTCCACTCTGACCATCCACGGAGGATCTGATGGAGCTTCAATCAGAACTGAATGTTAAGTTGGAGAACATCTCATTATGAGTTTGATTCACCGAAGCCATTATTTAGAAGATAATCCACCACATTCAATGATGCTTTAATCTCAGAGATGCAACATGAAACATAATTCAGTCATAGAAACTTTTTCTTTCAGCATTAATATGTTTAATCGGACTAAGTTGAGCTCTCCCTTTGAAATAGGGTGAGAAGCTCAGTCATCCAGGAGGGGCTCAGAGTAGAGCTGCTGCTCCTTCGCATCTAGAGGAGCCAGTGGAGGCTCGGGCATCTGGACAGGAAGCCTCCTGGACGCCTCTCTGGTGAGGTGCTTCGGGCACCTCCCACTGGGAGGAGGCCCTGGGGAAGAACCCAGGACACATTGGAGGGAGTATGTTTCCCGGCTGGCCTGGGAAAGCCTTGGGATTCCCATGGAAGAGCTGGAAGAACTGGCTGAGGAAAGGGAAGTCTGGGCCTCCCTTCTGAAGCTGCTACCCCTGCGAGCCGACCCCAGATAAGCAGCAATTAATGGATGGATGAGTGGATAATCAACTTAAACACTAATCCAAATTAAACCTAGAAATGAAATTGGTACAATTCTGTTTTGTTGTCACTCTTACATTAGTAGTTTTACTAAATTGTTTAACATTTAAATGTTTAGTAGTCTCACCTCCGAGAGGAGGAATTTTTTAAACTGTGTGAAAAACAAAACTTGCTTTTTTGCCTTAACCTTGAACATGTTTTCTGCAGCTGTTTTCCTATCTACCAATAAACTCCTTACTTTTGAAACTGCCTGTGTAGAATGTAGTTTCTGTGTTCCTCCTTCTTTTGTTATCAGAATAGATTCCACCTGTTAAGGTCACTGTCCCACATTGCATTCGCTTCTTCCCTGTGTTAATAAAAAGACTAGTGCTGCAGCAGTACAGAGCGCGGCTTAAAGAAGCAGTTTGCTGTGATTTTCCCCCTTTTGAAAAAGCTTGGTTGAAAATTAATAAGCTCTCTTTTATGTAGGTTGAGAAAATACCTATCAGAAATTTACTTCTGCCTTTTTGTTTTTGTGTTAATATTAATATTTTATTAAATAAATGAGTCTGTTAAATTTTGAAAAATAAAATTGAAGCTAAAAAGAAGAAAACGCAGTTTAAATGTTTGTGGCTCAATAGTTATATCAACATGACAGTTTATGTGTCTTGATTGAAAAGTGAGTTCATTATTGTTCATTTTTGTCCCTGTTATTCATCAGCAGTAATTGGATGATTCTCTGAATTTGGTACATTTTGGGGTCTCAGGTTACTTACAATTATACCACAAAAATTGTGTTTTGAACACTGAATCTACTGAAGGACTCTTTAAATCTCCAAGAAAATACGTCTTTCCACCTTATTCATAAAATCCCAAACAGTTTTACAAATGTCTTTGTTACTTAAGTTGCTTTAAATTCAACCCTGTAACGTGACAATTTCATTCCTCTGTGAGTATAACTCTATAAGATAATTAAACTAATTCTTCCAGTTCCTCTTAGATGACCTTAAAATATCTAAATGTAAGTATAGTTTTATTTGATTCTGAGTCATAATAATTAGATTGAAAAGTAGATAAGGGCAACTTGATTTAAAACCGCTTTTCATAAATCATAAAAATATTCTTTAAAATAAACTTCAAATCAGGCTTTTTATCATTCTTTAAACTTTGCATACAGTCCAACAAATAGTCTAATATTTGCTGTTACTATAAAAATATGTAACAAGTAAAGTGTTTGAACTCATTGTAACAGTTGACCAGACTGTAATGGGGTTGAAGATTTTCACTAAAAGTTGCCATAAACATTAACTGGGGTTTGGAGCAACGTATGATATGATGAAAACAATACATTAGTATGTGTTTCAAAGGCGATTCTTTACTTTTCCTAAACAATAATAAATATCATTTACATGCCTAATGTTGTTGAAAGGTTGAGCTTCACGATAACAATGTTTGGAAAAAAAAAATCAAATATAGGTAATAAACTATATTAACACTTTAATCTCTTTACAGTGTGAGCAGGAAAAGACTTTAGTGATGTCACTTCCAGGAGGCAGAGGAAATTGGACTGAGCTATTATTTATAAAAAAGGAGGGATTGGTTTGCTATTACTGGGTTAAACAAAACTGGAGGGACATGATTAAAAAGTGCTATTATATAAATAATTTATGTATTTTTCCTCATATTTTTTTTCTTTAGGTTAAAGTATATCTACAAGGAACTTGCAGTTACTGGCTATTTTTATTTCTTTTATATTCAGTGAAAACGTAACATTGGTCAGTGGGGACATGTTCACTTGGCTGACCTCTACGCTTCAACAACCATCAAATCTTTCGAAAAGTAATTTTTATTATATATTTGCATGCTATATCACCAAGACACGTGGATAATTTCATTACTTGACTTTAAAAAAAATTGGGTTGCATTATATGGGAATATTTGAGATAAACCTGTGAGACACAAAATGCATCAAATTCAGAGAATGACCCAATTGCTTATGAATGGTGTCAGTTAGAGATGAGATGGTTCTGAAAAATATGCACATGAGATATTTATTTAGCTTAACTGTGGAAATGGTGAATAATCCACCAAGTTGGATGTTTGAACAACAGAGATGAAACTGGAATAATAAAATTAAATCATAAAAGCCTTTTTCTTTCAGCATTACTTTGGAAAATGAATTTAATTTAGATTTAGAGAACAATCCAAATACCAATTTATAAATTAAACTCATTTCTGCCTTTTGTATTTGTGTGTTAAATTAATATTGGATGGCAAAAATAACAGATATAAACAGAAGTTACAGCAGTTAGAAACAGCTCACCTCTCTGATGGTGGAGATCCAGGAGATTTAAAGTTAAGAGGACGACCCTTTGACCTGTCACTCTTAAAGGACACACAGCTGGGTTCTGGTTCTGGTTCTGATTTGAGTCTCTGATGGATCCTGACAGAAACATGATGATTAAAACTTAATCAGCAAAGAGGAGCAGCAGCAGCTTCATCACCACGTCTGTTCTGGCCTGATATAGTGAACGCTGTGTGAAAAGGGGCTGTGGACAGTTAGAGATGGTGACCTCACCTCTGACCTTTGCTCTG